AAAGCTTCCAGTGATGAAACACCCACAACTTCTGAAGGCAACTTCTGTTCCATTGACTGAAAATTTCTCCTTATTTCTAGCTGTAATCTCTCCACGATCGGTTTCCATCCATTATTCCTTGTCTGTCCTTCAGGTGCTTTGGAAAATAGTTTGACCCCCTCTACTCTCTGTGGCAGCCCCGCAAATATTGGAAGACTGCTATGTCTCCCTTAGTCCTTCACTAGACTAGCCATGCCCAGTTCCTGCAACCATTCATCGCATATTTTAGCCTCCAGCCCCTTAATCATCTTGATTGCACTTCTCTGCACTCTTTCTAGAGTCTCAACCTCTTTTTTTATAGTGTAGTGATCAAAACTGGATGCAGTAGGCTAGGCGTGGTCTTACAGGTGTGGTTTTACAGAGTGGTATTATTACTTCATGAGATCTTGATTCAATCCCTGTGTTAAAATGCAATTTAGAATTGCATTGGCTTTTTTGGCTGCCACCACACCCTGTTGGCTCATATTTAATTGGTTGTTCACTAAGACTCCAAGATCCCTCTGACAGTTATGGCTATTAAGCCTGGTTTCACCCAATCTATGGGTGTACTTTTGGTTTTCCTTGCCTAAGTATAAGACTTTACTTTTCTCTACATTGAATTTCATTTTGTTAAATAGGGCCCAGGGCTCAGGTTAGTTAGTGTTAGTTCACCCTTTCCAACAAGCCATAGTTTGTGGCAAAGTTGTGGTGGCTTTCCAACCACCTTACGCTCGACAAGGAACGGCTAATGGAAGCCAACTCTCTCAACCAAGAAGGCCATTTAGTTATTTATATAATTGATAGGCTGAATTTATAGTTCAAGATAACTCTGGGTGGCTTAATCATAAAAAAAAAAACAGCTATATAATGTAAAAGCGTAAATAAGTTCTATAAAATCCAGAACACAGCTTTCTTACAACCCGAGAACCAGGTTATTACTGCAAGAAGTGTGTGTCCTAGTCTTTCCCCGCCAAGAGCAAAATGGATGGGAGGCACTGCCCCACATCTCAAGGACCTCCAGGCCTAGGTGTGAAGGTAAACACCAGGATAGGATGAGACTCAGAGGAAGCTGGAAATACAAAGGTGCCAAAAAGGCAAATGAAGGGATTAGGCGGCTAGAGCAGCTCCCAAACAGGAAAGACTCCAGCCTTTGAGATCTTAGATGACAATGACAGATGACAAGAGGCCTGACCCAAAAATAAAAGCAAGTATGACCTAGATGAGAGAGAGAAAAGAGAGGGAGGGAGGAAGGGAAAAGAAAATGTGTGTGTGGGAAACAGAAGAGAGAATGTGTATGTGTGTGTGTGTGTGAGAGTGACTGAGAAAATGTGAGAAAAAGGAAACGACTGTAATTGTGTGTGAGAGAAAATGTACAGGCGAAACTCGAAAAATTAGAATATCGTGCAAAAGTTCATTTATTTCAGTAATGCGACTTAAAAGGTGAACCTAATATATGAGATAGACTCATTACATGCAAAGCAAGATAGTTCAAGCTGTGATGTGTCATAATTGAGATGATTATGGCTTACAGCTCATGAAAACCCCAAATCCACAATCTCAGAAAATTAGAATATTGTGAAAAGGTTCAATATTCTAAGCTTAAAGTGTCCCACTCTAATCAGCTAATTAAGCCATAACATCTGCAAAGGTTCCTGAACCTTTAAATCAGGGCTGTCCAACCTTTCACCTTCCCTGGGCCACATTAGAAGATGAAAATTTGGTTTGGGCTGCACATAAAATAAAATAACAGTAACGATACCTGATCATCCCCAAAAACCATAGAAAACATACTTAACATATTAAATTTATTTGGAAATGAAGTTAGTGAGATGTTTTTATTATTTATTATAAATTATTTATTTTTTATCACGGTTTTTTTATCACAGTTTTTTTATCACAGTTTATTTTCCGGCCAAATTTTGGGGGAGGGGGGGGGAGAAAGCTCGCCCGCCTCACGCCTACCTCTCCTCCTGCAAATGGCCCGGCTGGATGAGGCAGGACTGGAAGGCAGAAGCAGCAGCAGCAGCGGCGGGGGCAGAAGCCTTCCCCTGCCACCGCTGCCACCGCTGCCGCTTCATCCCCCGCCACCGCTGCTGCTTCTGCCCCCGCTGCTTCTGCCCCCGCCGCCGCTTCATCCCCCGCCACCGCTGCTGCTTCTGCCCCCCCCACCGCTTCTGCCCCCGCCGCCGCCACCGCTTCTGCCGCCGCCACCGCTTCTTCCCCCACCACCACCGCCGCTTCTGCCCCCGGTGGGGGCAGAAGCGGCAGGGGCAGCAGCAGCTGTGGCGGCGGGGGCAGAGGCGGCGGCAGTGCCAGTGGCGGCAACAGCAGGAGGTGGCGCTCTGACGGCGCCCACCTTTTGTCTTGCTGCTTGGCCTGGCGCTCGCCTCGCCCCGCCTCGCGCCTGCCTCTCCTCCTCCTCCTTGCTGGCTCTGGCACGAAGGTTGGGGTGGGCACTGGGCCGCATTACGAGGCGACCTGGGCCGCATGCGGCCCGTGGGCCGCGGGTTGGACAAGCCTGCTTTAAATGGTCTCTCAGTCTGCTTCAGTAGGAATCACAATCATGGGAAAGACTGCTGACCTGACAGTTGTGCAGAAAACCATCACTGACACCCTCCATAAGGAGGGAAAGCCTCAAAAGGTAATTGCAAAAGAAGTTGGATGTTCCCAAAGTGCTGTATCAAAGCACATTAATAGAAAATTATGTGGAAGGGAAAAGTGTGGAAGAAAAAGGTGCACAAGCAGCAGGGATGACCACAGCCTGGAGAGGATTTTCAGGAAAAGGCCATTCAAAAGTGTTGGGGACTTTCACAAGGAGTGGACTGAGGCTGGAGTCAGTGCATCAAGAGCCACCACACACAGACGGATCTTGGACATGGGTTTCAAATGTCGTATTCTTGTCAAGCCGCTCCTGAACAACAAACGACGTCAGAAGAGTCTTACCTGGACTAAAGAAACATGGAACTGGTCTGTTGCTCAGTGGTCCTAAGTCCTCTTTTCTGATGAGAGCAACTTTTGCATCTCATTTGGAAACCAAGGACCCAGAGTCTGGAGGAAGAATGGAGAGGCATACACTGCAAGATGCTTGAAGTCCAGTGTGAAGTTTCCAGTCTGTTGATTTGGGGAGCCATGTCATCTGCTGGTGTTGGTCCACTGTGCTTCATTAAGTCCAGGGTCAACACAGTCATCTACCAGGAGATTTTGGAGCACTTCATGCTTCCTTCCGCGGACAAGCTTTATGGGGATGACTTCATTTTCCAGCAGGACTTGGCACCTGCCCACACTGCCAAAAGCACCAAAACCTGGTTCAATGACCGTGGGATTACTGTGCTTGATTGGCCAGCAAACTCACCTGACCTGAACCGCATAGAGAATCTGTGGGGCATTGCCAAGAGAAAGATGAGAGACATGAGACCAAACAATGCAGAAGAGCTGAAGGCCGCTATTGAAGCATCCTGGTCTTCCATAACACCTCAGCAGTGCCACATGCTGATGGCTTCCATGCCACGCTGCATTGAGGCAGCAATTGCTACAAAAGGGGCCCAGACCAAGTACTGAGTACATATGCATGCTTATACTTTTCAGCGGTCCGATACTGTTCTATGTACAATCCTCGTTTTATTGATTGCATGTAATATTCTAATTTTCTGAGATTGTGGATTTGGGGTTTTCATGAGCTGTAAGCCATAATCATCTCAATTATGACAAACCACGGCTTGAACTATCTCGCTTTGCATGTAATGAGTCTATCTCATATATTAGTTTCACCTTTTAAGTTGCATTACTGAAACAAACTTTTGCACAATATTCTAATTTTTCCAGTTTCACCTGTATGTGCGAGAGAAAGCAAGAGAAATATTGTGTGTGAGTGAAAGGAAACGAGGAGAGAAAAAAAAGCAAGAGAGAGAGAGAGAGAAGGGAGAAAAAAGCAAGAGAGAAAGCACAAGAGAAATAGAAAGCGAGAGAGAGAGAGAGAGAGAGAGAGAGAGAGAAAGGAAGCCAGAAAGAGAGAGAGAGAGAGAGAGGGGGGGGGGGAGAACAAGAGAGATAAAGCAAGAGAAAGAGAGAAAATGAGAAAGGGAAAGAGAAAAAGGCAGAGAGGGAGAGAAAGAAAGCAAGAAAAAGCACGAGAAACAGAGAAAGGAACCCAGAGAGAGAGAGAAAGCGAGGGGAGAGGGAGGGAGAGAGAGAGAGAGATAAAGCAAGAGAAAGAAAACGAGAGAGGGAAGAGAGAAAAAGCCAGAGAGGTAGAAAAAGAGAGGGAGAGAAAGAAAGCAAGAGAAAACACAAGAGAAATAGAAAGCAGGAGAGAAAGAAAGCCAGAAAGAGAAAGAGAGAGAGAGAGAAAGCAAGAGAGGGTGTGAGAGAGAGAGAACAAGAGAGATAAAACAAGAGAAAAAGGAAGCCAGAAAGAGAGAGAGAAAACAAGAGAGGGAGAGAGAGAGAGAAAGAGAACAAGAGAGAGAAAACAAGAGAAAGAGAGAAAGGGAGAGAGAAAAAGCCAGAGAGATAGAAAAAGAGAGGGAGAGAAAGAAAGCAAGAGAAAACACAAGAGAGAAAGGAAGCCAGAAAGAGAGGAAAGAAAAGAGAGAGAGGACCGCCGGATTCATCCCCCCCTCCCCCCCAACTCCACGACCAAAGGAAACGCGTGTTATGTGGGGGGCAATCTTGGGGTCGGCGACCCCCACCCCCTCACCCCACCCAGGCCGGCTGTGCAGAGCCCCCCTCCCCCCCACAGCCTCTGGGAAAGCGAAGGGCGCCGGGCCCGCCCAAAGCCCAGCATCCCCCGGGGCGGCGGCGGCGGCGGCCCAGGATCCCGCCGAGCTCCCTCAGCGTCCCCGAGGCGGCGGGGGGTCCCGGGCGCGGCTGCGGCGGCATCTCCTCGCGCAGGGGAGGAGCCCGGCGGAGGCGGCGGAGGAGGCGGCGCCGGGTCGGCCGGAGCTTGCGCGCTGAGGCGGGCGGCGCTGGCACCCGGTCCGAGAACAAGGGGACGAGGCCGGGCGGCGAGGCGGGCCTGGCGGGGGCCATGGCGGCGTCGGAGACCAAGATCATCTACCACCTGGACGACCAGGAGACGCCGTACCTGGTCAAGCTGCCGCTGCCGGCCGAGCGGGTCACGCTGGGCGACTTCAAGGCGCTGCTCAACCGGCCCAACTACAAGTTCTACTTCAAGTCCATGGACGATGATTTCGGGTGAGAGCGGCCGCCCGGCCCCGGGGGGGGGGGGGGGGATGATGGGGCTTGGAGTCCCGCCGGCTGGGAGACTCCCGCGTCTTCGCCACCCAGGCCTCCTTCCTCCCCCCCGCCCCGCCCCCAAATCTTCCTCCCCAGGATTATGATCTACGCCCCCCCACCCCCAAATTAGCGTCTCCCTTCGGATTGCAACTCCCATCCTCCCCGGCCGGGCGCCGAGCGGCTGCGGGCCGGACTCGCTGGCGCCGCGTCGCCCGAGCAGGCTTTGCTTTTCGCTTGGCCGGGAAAGGGAACAAAAAAGCCAGCCTCCCCCGTGCTTAACCCGCGCCTAACCCGAGCTTGGCTGGCCAGGCTGACTCGGCTGCCTGCCTTTCTGAAGCCGATCGACACGGGTCGGAGCTCGGGAGATGGATGGGGTTTTTTTTGGGGGGGGGGGCAACCCTGCAGGAAAAAAAATCCCCTCTCCCTCCCAGGTTCGCCTTGGCAAGATGGGCCGTTGTCCTCCCCCTCCCCGGTTTGAAAGGGGCTCTTGTTGCTCTCTGAGCTTGGTTGCTTCCTTGCGGACGTTTCATGACCCAACTAGGTAACATCATCAGTGCTGGAAGAGAGTGAGGTTTGCAGAGAGGAGACTGAGGAGGGGGAGTAGAAGGACTCTGGGGTCCTTGGTGTTCTCTGAGGGGGGTTGTTTTCTTGCAGATGTTTCATGACCCAAAGTAGGTCATGAAACCAATGCTGGAAGATAGTTGGGTTTGCAGGGGGGAGGGAGGGGGAGGGGGAGAGGAGGAAGGGGGAGGACTGGGTTCCTTGGTTTTCTCTGAGCTTGGTTGTTTTCCTGCAAACTTTTCATTACCCAAGCTGGGTAATATCATCAATGCTGGAAAAGAGTGGGGTTTGCAGGGAGGAGGAGGAGGAGAGAGGGAGAGGAGAAGGAAAAGGAAGAGAGAGGAGGAAGAGGAAGAAGAGGAAAAGGGAGAGGGAGAGGAGAAGGAAGAGGAAATGCAAGAGGGAGAAAAGGATGAGGAAGAGGAAAAGGAAGAGGAGGAAATGAAAGGAGGAGGAGGAGGAAGAGGGAGAGGAGGAAGAAAAGGGGGAGGAAAAGGAAGAGGAGGAAATGAAAGAGGAGGGGGAGGAGGAGGAAAAGGAAGCGGAGGAAGAAGAGGAGGAAGAAGAGGAAATGCAAAAGGGAGAAAAGGACAAGGAAGAGGAAAAAGAAGAGGAGGCAGAAAAAGACGAGGAAATGAAAGAAGCAGAAGAGGAGGAGGAAAAGGAAGAGGGAGAAAAGGAGGAGGAGGAAGAAGAGGAAAAGGAAGCGCAGGAAATGAAAGAGAAGGGGGAGGAGGAGGAAAAGAAAGAGGAGGAAGAAAGAAAAGGAAGAGGAGGAAAAGGAGGAAGAAAAGGAGGAAGAAAAGGAGGAGGAAAAGGAAGAGGAGGAAAAAGAGGAAAAGAAAGGAGGAAATGAAAGAAGAGGAGGAGGAGGAGGAAGAGAAAAAGGAGGAGGAAAAGGAAGAGGAGGAAGAAGAAGAAAAGAAAGAGGAGGAAATGAAAGAGGAGGAAAAGGAAGAGGAGGAGGGAGAGGACTGTGGCGTTCTTGGTATTCTCTGAACTTGCTTGTTTTCTTGCGTACCTTCCATGATCCAGACTAAGTAACTTGGGTCATGAAACGTCTGCAAGGAAACAAGGAGGCCCAGAAGAACACCGAGGACCTCTTGTTCCAACCCGGGCTACAACTATTCTCTTTCGTTTTCCCAATACAATCTTCAAAGCCCAACCTCTTGAGCCATTTTGATGCATCTCTGGCTTCTCTACTTCAAAGGAGGAGCCTCGTTTCCATCCTCTTCCCGGATGGGAGAAAACAAATATTCCTCCTCCAAAGTAGAGGAGCAAAGGGCCAGTTTCCACCGCAGCTCAGCAACTCAATTTCATCCTGGATTTATTCTCCAGTTTTGATGCCACCAATTTCTTTCTGAGGTGTGGTGCCACCACTTCACCTGTGGGGATGTTAACCAATAGGTTGTACTTTAAGCTGCCCAAGGTAGGGCTGGGTTCAAATAAGACGCGCAGCCCCGGAAATCTTAGCCCAGGTTTCACCCGAGGCATTGAGCTTTACATCAGGACGATCCCTGTTGCTGGACTGCTCATTATCCCAATTAAAATGGAAGTATTCCTGCCGTCTGTAAAGGCTAGGCCATAATTGGCAGTTCCAAGGCCCCAGCTTTAATTGGGGCAGAGCCTGGAAAAATGTCCTTAAGAGCAGCTCCATATTGGCTGGAGTTTCAGCATTTGTGAAAGAAATAACTTGTGGGAGGTTGGATGTTTCCCCATGTTTCTCAACTGGGCTGCTAATGAGTTAGCAACTGAATTTAAGAGAGGTGTCTGCAGCATCCGATTCAGGTAGTCCTTTACTTCCAACCATTGGTTTATTGAGTGTTCAAAGATACAACAGCACTGAACGAAGCGACATTGAACTGGTCCTCAACACGATTATTGTATTATCCGGATAGTCACATGGATCCAGATTCAAATGCTTGGACACTGGCATGTATTTATGAGAGTTGCAGGATTCTGGGATCACTGGATCACCATTTGGGATCTTCCCAGCCAGCTTCTGGCAAGCCAGGTCAAAGGAGGAGTTCAGATCCACTTAATGACCGTGTAGGGCACTTAAGAGCTACAGTGATTTGCTTAACAAGCTGTGGCAATAAAGCTTGGAAAACCGTGTATGACTCACTGAGTAGCCACCTTGCTTAGCAACGGAAATTCTGATCCAGCTGTGGTTGTAAGTGGAGGATTACCTGTATGTGTAGTCCTTGACTTACAACCCATTCATTTAGCGATTGAAGTTAACAAGGGCGCTGAAAATAGTGACCGTTTTTCAAATGTACAACCTTTGCAGTATCATGGTCACATGATCAAATTCAGATGCTTGGCAACTGACTCATATTTATGACGGTTGTAGTATGTATCCCATGGTCAGGGGATCGATCCCCTTCTGAAAGTCGATGGGGAAGCCAGATTAGAACAGAATAGAATTCTTTTATTGGCCAAGTGCAATTGGACACACGAGAAATTTGTCTTGGTGCAAATGCAGACCTTTCTGTACATAAAAAGAAAGACATTCGTCAAGAGTCAAGAATCATCAGGTACATCACTTAATAATAGTCCTAGGGTACAATAAGCAATCAATTCATTTGGCGTTATACTAACTTAACAACTGCAGTGATTCACTTAATGGTGACAAGAAAGGTTGAACAAAAAGAGGCAAAGCTCACGTCTTGCTCAGCCACAGAAATTTCTGGTCGTAAGTTGAGGACTACCTGTATTGAATTTCAGGATTGGAGATTTGCTGCTCCCCCACCCAGCCTCCTGCACCAAATTCCACTAAGACTTGCACTCATTTGAATTCTCCAGGATTCTCAATGCTTTAGAACAGGGGCATCAAACTCAATTTCCTTGAGGGCCGCATCAGGGTTGTGTTTGACCTTGTGGGGGCAGGGTGGGGGGCACGGTCAGCTCCACATCACTTGTTTGGGGAGGGGGCGCCTATGGCGGCCTGAGCGCATTTGCCAGCGAAAACAGGCTCCTGAGCTCCATTTTCGGCTGTGACGTCTTCCTGCAACCCTCTGCCGGCAGCATTCCCGAGCTCCGTTTTCGCTGGCAGAGGCCCCACAGGCTGGCCCTTGGCTGTTTTTGGGGTGGCCCTACAGGCCAGATCTACACACCCTATGAGCCAGATGCAGCCCGCGGGCCTTGAGTTTGACACCCCTGCTTTAGAATTTTTCTAATCCCATCCTGATGTTTTACAAAGTCCACAATTCACGGTTTGGGGCCTTTGAAGATTTGCTTCAGATCAAGGGGTTTGGCCAATTGCTTGGCTTAATGGAGAAAAGACGCTCATTTTAGATGCTGAAACCCTCAGGGGCAGAGGGGATTGTAGTAGCTGGACGCAGTTGTACTCCTGGAAGTTAGCCGCTGGCAAAGCTGCTGGATCTTGGTTTGTTTTCCTGCCCTATGGAAACTAAAGGGCTTCCTTTTGTCAAAGTCATTCGATCCCAGCTCTCCGAGCCTGCGGTTTTGTACAGTTGTCTAGTGACAGATCTCCCGAACAACCATGTGGTCTTTTTCCAAACAAATAATCCCAAGTGATGAATGCTGATTGTTTTTGGCTTCTGACCTGGGAACCCCGTTGGAAGTCTGTGAAGAATTCAGGAGAGTTTGCATGCCAGCTTTGTAATCTTCCAGAAAGATGGTGGAAGGGAGAGTCTTTCATCTATCCTGAGTCTGCACAGGATCCTGCCAAAGACTCAAATTTCTCGTTTCCGTCTCCTCCTCCTCCTCCTCCTCCTCCTCCTCCTCCTCCTCCTCCTCCTCTCACTGTTTGTAACTGCTTGGCTGGAAAATACTTTTGGTCGAACTGAATATCTTTCGAACAAATGTTTTCCTAAAATAGCCCTTTTGTCCTCGCTAGTTCAGAGTTCAGCTGGTGGGGTAGGGCCAGCCTGGGACGTTTTTTGGTGCCTGGGGCAAACAAGGAGGTCCCTTTTCTCTCCCTGACTCCCTGTCTCGTGGTTGTTTACCCTCCGGCTTATTGGTGATGAAGTACGGATAGGCCTCAACGTACAACAGTTCATTTCATGACCGTTCGAAGTTACAACAGCCCTGAAAAAAAAGTGACATGACTTTTTTTTTCATACTTAACATCCCCATATCCATCCGATCAAAATTCACACACTTGGCAATAGGGTCATATTTATGACAGTTGCCAGTGTTCCACGGATTTGGCGACCTTCTGAGTCATTGGGGAAGGCAATATTCACTTAATGAGCGTGTTACTAACTTAACAACTACAGTGATTCACCTAACAATTGTGGAAAGACAAGGCTGTACAATGGGACAAAATGCACTTAATGTCTTACTTAGCAACTGAAATTTTGGGCTCAGTTGTGGTCGTAAGGCAAATCTGGTCTGAATAATGTTAAGACTGTTTTCTTTTTAACCATTTG